TTCTTGGATGCAGCTCCTGTTTTGCGTGATTTGTGGTTGCTGCGAAAGATCATAAATCTTCTGCCATATTGTCAATATGTACGTCATTCTTTCCTTTGTGCTGTGCAATTCTTTCCTGCAGGGTGGTTGAGGTCTTCTTTCTTGCATTGATCTTAACCTAGTTGTGAGCACTGCACATCAGTTGCAGGGTAGCTCCAAGGGAAGTACATAAGGGTTTGAGCCTGGTTGTAGATTGTAGATTTCATGAGCTCATCCGGAGCATTCAGATCCCTGGGGGATTTCTAGGATTCACACTGGCCCAACAACTCACACCCAACAGGGTTCCAAACACAACACACCCGTCTGTTGCGCGAGGAGTGAAGGCAGTGATAATGGTCGGTTTGCCATCCTCCGCGAAGGAGGCCAAACAGTTGGTGGACTACATGGCCCGCTGCGCCCTTTGGTGAACACTAGGATTACTGAAAAGAGAGGAGTAGACTGAGTAGACAGAGCTTAGAGCATCTCGAAAGTTGTTTTAAGAAGAAAACGGCCCAGAACCCTCGGAAGCAAGCCGTTTGGACAGGTCTCTTTGTTTGCCACTACTGAGGAATCTTTTTGAGGTTTGGTATTTTGCTTGGTCCCCATGGTGATTTCTCGGGAGGTTCATGATGTGATCTACAAACTTTCAGACTGAAGTGCAACCTCCACAAAGTCAACAACTCCATAAGAGAACTTGGGCATAGCCCGTGCTTGCTGTTCTTTTAGGGCGGGGGTAGGTAAATTCTCAGCGAAACCTATGCTTTGTCGTCCAAGTTTCCAAGTTTGTGAACGACTCAGGAGTTGGCAGAGTCCTTCCTGTTGGCCACTAGCTTTGAGTCTGAGATCATCAGCCAGAGACTTAGACCATTGTGGGACATCCCAGCAGTCATGGCCCACCCACGCAGGCAAGCACTGCTACTTTCCAAAGCTGCCTCTACCCATATGACGTGTGCACCTTGCGGGCTATGCACATCACCTTTCGCACTATGCATCCCCCAAACCAAATGGAGCATGTACCATTGCCTTTAGCAACGTGTTTGAGAAGGTAGCTGCAGGTAAGACCACGACCTGCTAGGCTAGAGGAAGTCTTTGTTCCGAAAAGTATATCATGTTCCAGAGGTTGGATGGTGTCTCGTCGTGATAGGTTGAGCAACCCAAGCAAGCTGTAAAGATTGTAAAGTCAGAAAACCCAGCAAGCCCACATGCCCCCCAAAGAAATCAGTGTTTTTCTTCCCTTTTGTTCTCTTGGCGTTGCAGTTTCACAGGAGTTGGCTACTCAAGCATTGGCTGGCCATAGGTGTCTTGGATGCCGATCTGAAGGCTGGCACTTTCGACCAGGAGGAGCTGCTGCCAGCCAGGGCCCTGGAGCCACTGGAGAGGGTCGAAGAGTGGTGCGTTTTAGACAGTTTGCTGAGGGCCCTCTCAGTGCTCCCTGTGTTTTGTTCTAAAAGTATGTACGCTCCCAAAGACTAACGTGCGTGAAAAAAAAAAAACGTTGTTTTACACACGTTTAAAAGAAACTGCATGATATCAAGACCCTAGTTGCCGGAGTGCTATGTTAATGTACTTTGGACCTCTCTCTCGCTGTTTCCTGGGGAATTGAAAAGTAGCACGAAGCACCCCACAGGCCGGTTACGAGCCAGCATAATTCCTGGGGATTCCTGGGGATAGTCACCGGTCTCAAAACAGACTTCTTTAACGTGTAAGTGTGGCTGTTAAGTTAACCTAGGCAGCTGGTGCTGTGAAGCATAACACCCCCTTGCAGGTGCTAAGTTAAATGCTGCGACAGGGGTCCACGTTGAAAGGTGAGGTCTCAAGTAGGTGGGGTCAAGAGAAGAAAGAAAACACCACACACATATACTCTTAGAGTCATAGAAAAATACATCCTTTCCGTTCGATGTTAGTGCAGGGGTGCACGTGAGTCTGTTTCTTAGATTCCACCTCCCACACCCTCTTTAAACCCAGACATATTTAGCCTGTTTATTGTTTTGGAAGAGAGGCTCTTTCACGTGAAGGCGTTAAAAGTGTAGTGGGGCCGCAGTACAGCATTTGAGCACAGACGCCCAACACACTTTACAATACTTACCAGAGACCATGCCACACCGGGGAGCGTGTGGAAAAAAATGTGCGTTGATGGTACCATGGTTTTTAACGTGTCATTTTTCAGCATCAAACGTAATTAGACGCAGCAAGGTCCACGTTAACCATTTCACTAGACCGGTTGATGGTTGAATGAAAAATCATTGTGTTTGCATTCATGGTCCACGTTTTCGGTGACGTACATCAAGGGTCCATGAAAGACCCCAAAACCGTTTTCCCCAGTGTAACCAACCGGTAGACATACACACGTTTAATTAGCACAAAAGTGTTTTCCAGGCACAGGTTAGTTTGCCAGAGCGTAACTCCGTTTCCTTCGTTGGCTTGGGGGACTGGTCTATTTTCCCTGCATTTAAACTGTTTTTGCAGGGTACGAATTCAAAGTTTGGTTTATGACTATATGACAGATGGGAGATAGACGAGTTTACCTACGTTCTGACCAAAGTTTTCCAGGTTTAGTAGCCATTTGGAGGGAAGGACCACGATAAGCCACAAGAGGTGGGCCACCAATTTGAGACTGAACACCAAGTCTTGGCAATGTGCCCCCTACAATAGTAGCGATGGCCTCCACCCTAGTAATTAGCGATGGCCCCCTACAAATGAGGGTTCCGCGTTTGTGGATGTTGAATCAGGCTGCTGAAAGGCTGTGATATCTTACAGCAAAAAATAGCATCGGGTATCCAAGAAGTGAGAGGTAGCCTGTCTCCAAGAAGAACAAATTCTCCAAGCTGAAATGTCGATCTCCTTTTCAGGTGACTTCCTTTAGAGTTCAGCTCGAAGCTTCTGGAACTCACCTTACTAGCCGCCCAAATAATTGAGTTCAACCCTCGGACAAACCTTCGTTCCACATACATCTTAAGCAAGTCAGAAAAGATCAAAACTACTCAGACGGGGGACCTGCCAGACGGGGGACCTGCCCGACAGGCACTGCAGCAGCAGTGAAAAGTGCTGGTGAAACACAGGAATATGGTGGGGATTGCTTGAGATATAGGAGGGAACGAGACTCTCCGGCAGGTTTTTGTTTCTTGGCAATTATAGCATCTCCATTCGAACCCAGCGCTGCGAGGCAGTGAATGACAAGGTGGTTCTGAAGGCTTACCTCGCATGGCTACGGCATTTGGCCTGAAAGAGCTTGAGATGTGTTGATGTCCTGGACAAAAAAGATACTATTTACTTGTTACCGGGCATTGTAAAGTGATTTGAGGCTTTGATGGTATACAAAGTTTGGCAGGTTCAATCCGACACAAGCAACTTGGCCTTTGAGGCCGTTGGACATCATCCCCTGTGGCCCCAAACAAGCTCATGAACATTGGTTGCAGCAATGTCACTGGGAAACTGCTATTTGGAGCACTTCCGGTTATATATATATACACTGAATCACTGTTCTATTTGTTCTTATTGTTTGAAAAATTATCTTGGCACCTCCAGACCAGATCTCGCTTTGTATTCGCCTTGCGGGAATGATGAGGTACTATGGACTTCATCCGCTGGTGACAGACAAGCAACCCATCATCCAGGAGGCTCAGCACTTCTTTGCTGCTGCTACGGGAGATGGTGAAGTGCCGTCCTTGACACAGCGAATGGTGGAAGATATGGGAGACTTAGCTCATGTGGTTTCGCTTGACCCACACACTCAGTTTAGTTGCATTCTAATGCGGATTTACAGAGCGCAAATCTTAGTATTGATCCTGACTTGGGAGTTGCGTGTTTTGCTCTACATGTGTGAGTCGCAGTTGGCAGATTTGCCAAGAAATAGACAAGTGGATTATGTAGGCCTGCAGGCCTTTTGTTTTTCCTTGCGCTGAAGAGTCTTGTTGATTGCAAGCGCCTTCGTTTGCCAGCTTAGACAAGAACGCCCCTTAGCCCTAAACTGTGTCGTAATCAGTCCAGGGATGGCTGCAAAGGGGCCTGACTCTTTGAACCCTTCCTCAGACTGAAATGATGATGAGGACTAGCCGGGGTGGATGACAAAGCGCTGAATGTGAAAGCTTAGACTCTGTGGATCTTGGATCAAAGTGGTGGAAGAGCTAGTACACCAACAGACTTCTGAGGTTCAGGGTGATAAGAACGTTCTAACACACGGACCTTGGAAGGTGAAGTTTGACTTGCCTAGCTTGGTACAGATCCTTTTTGCTTTGCTAGGGATTCGGCACATGCGAAAAACCTAAACAGGTACTTATCCGCTTCACATATCATCCAAGATCCCATGTTTAGAGTGCGTTCTTGCGCTCGGATGAAAATGGGTCGAATGCTTTGTTTGGCCTTGATGATTGATTGGTTCAGGGAATGGCCAGAGAATGGTCAACCACCCATTGTGAACCTTGGTGGTGAAACGAATACTTCTGCATTGAGGTTCACCACCCAGCTTTAAGCGTGACATTTGTCAGTGTTTCTTCAACTTACATTTATCGGTGGCTAAAGAGCATTCCTTTGGATTTGGACACCCAAAAGAAAAAAACAATTTTGACAAGTGTTGCTTACACATACATATAATATATGTAATATGTACATAATATGTATATTTGATATGATAACACTCACTATAGGTGCCTGACCCTTCCGTTTCACTGCCGCAGCGTCGATTCAGCTGCTCTCCAAATGCAGAGTAGTGTGCTCGGACATCTCTCCAACGTTTCCAATCTAGCACGGGCAGGCTTGCAAGCGGCATGCAGCTTCCGCCAGAACTGGTCAGTCAATGCGGGTTTTGAAGGCATAAACAGCCGCACATGACAATGAGAGATCACATAAAAATACACAAACTATGTTTTTGTAAAGGGTTATATCTAATTGTGACTAGGTGTAGGATTCCTTCATGACTTGAGATGAAGGGTTCCCAAGGTCTGGATTGGGCGGGGAACCTCGTGGATTGTGGGAAGCGTGCTGAGGCGCGGGCATACTTTGGTTTGCACCCTCTTTGAACCTGAAACGAGGCGCCCGTGGGCCTGGGAGTTCAGGTCGTTGACGCCGACGTCAGGACCCTGCTTTGAGGAGCAGCGAAAACGAGTATATCTTTGCGCCTTTTATCTCAAAGGATGGGAAAGGGGACAAACATGTTTCAATCCAGATTCAGCTATATATATATATATATAGAGGTGGTGTTGTGATGTATTTGTTGTGATGTATTGACCCATTGATCGATATGATATCACAGGAGAAGCCTTCTGATTCTGTGCTCGAGCCTTCACAGGAGACCTGAGCAGGGGGATGAGAAAGCTTGCGTGCGGAGCCCTATTTGTTGCGTCAGGGGATCGTGCCAAGGTGAAATACTTCAAGCCTGGAGGGCTGGACTTGTGATGAATGCAGAAGTTGGGTCAGCAAAGTCTACACAGTACTCCATACATAGCCATAGTCTTAGTGGATCATAGTCGTATATTGGGTAGTATAATAATGTACAATAAGGTATAGTATAAAGTTTACGCATGTAGATTAATATCCCATGAAATTCTGTGAGTTATCGATTTCTATGATATTTTCTTCGGGGCAGCGTCGCTGGTCAATCCAAATGATTCAGGAATTGAGAACCGATGGGTGCCTCCAGGGTTCCAGATCGCATCAGGCGAAGCCCCCCTCTACCTACTGTACTGGTTGGAGATCGACTGGGCTTAGATGGATCCTGGATAAGCACGAATCCCACAAACACAGGCCATTAGGATGCGCGCACTTGCGGTTCAGCGCCCACACCAACCCTTGCTCACGGGTGAAGCGGGTTTGGGTGGTCTTGTGGTCCTGGGTGAAACGCCTAGAGACTGCCCTTTGTACACTACACACGCCATTAGGATGATTTTGTGCATGCTTGGTAGTTTCAAATACGGAAGAGACGAAATGACAAGTTTCAGACTTTGGCCGCAGGGCAGTGGGCAGTCCTATCGACAAATTAGCCAGCTCTTTGTGATGCAAACGTCACGGTCAAAGTCTGCAAACGTCAACTTTGCTTGTGGCTTACCCTGCAACCATGCTGCATGCCCAGAGCTTCCAGGTGGTGTGCTAGCGGTCCATATGGATGTCAGCTGCAGATCAATGAGTGTGCTATTAATTGTCGCCTCAATGCATTCCCATTCAAACGAAAATCGAGGGCGGGAGTCAGCCCGACCTAGCCATCCTGTCAGCCGCGGTCAGGTGGTCTTTTGTCATGGCAACGCTTGTTGCCGTTTGGATGGATTCATGCAGGCCAGAATCTGACCATCCCTCCTCCGCTGCTACTGTGGATATCAATACAGCTACAGTTTCTGTGTTGGCGAGTCGAGGAAGAACTGTTTGACCTTGACGTAGGGAGTGATGACGGTGAAGGCCTTATCCTTGGGGGGTCAGCAACCGCTAGCGATCGTTTGCGGATATGCTTTCATGCAGGCTGTAGGTTCTTTCACACAGCTAGTGGGAACTCACAAATATCCAACATAAAAAGAGTCCTGAAGAGGTAATTCAAGCTATGGAGAAGGTCAAACCCTTAGTCTACACAAAAGGATTAAGGGTTCTGCTATTTCTCAAACAATGTGTCCACATGTTTCCACAAACCGTTAGGTCTGTTAGGTCCAGCGCTTCAAGGCTGACACCAAGAATCAAACAATTATGTGACCTTGACTGTGACTTTGCTGGCCTCCTTCTTTAGTTGTGCATGTTGGTACAGCTCATAATAATGTAATAATCAAAAACAAGCCAAAACTATAAGCTAACATCCTTGATAATCCATCGAAATCGCTCCGAACCTTGGAGGTTCATTGCTTTCTGCCTCTGAACATTGCGGTTTGCTGCTTCGACTTCTCAGGTTCAGGCGAGAGCTCCGGAAATGACACCTTTCATATTTCATACATTTTCATATTTCATATTTAAGGGAAAACAACAGTTCTATCAACATAGTAACTCTAACTCTAATATCAGTTTTGAGGTAAGCGACTATGCAGCCACCTGTGAAACAGAATCTGGAAGGATCCAAGGCGGGTCCGCACGACCTCCCACGTGCAGAGGTATGAGCGGTGGTGAGCACGTCTCGCTGGGCTTCTTTGAACGTGATGATCTGGCGGCGGTCGAAGCCCCAGAGTTAGCCCTGGCCTGGCGTTGTTTGTGGTATGTGTGAGCCATGGGGAGAAGCGGATGGAGAAATGATCAAACACACAATCCTTTTTTGAATGACAGATGCACTTGTAACAAGGCTCTGCCAGACAGGGGAACGCACAGTTGGTTTGAGGGCAAAATTCTCAGTGGGTCACAGATCTTCTCCCTTTCTAAGTTCCCATGTCGTTTCAGGGAACATAGTTGGACTGTAGCTGATCAGTGTTCTTTGACTATCTATTCCACCTGTGGGCTTGCAAGCGTCAAAGCCCAGACTTTGAGGTCCTTAGTGATTCCGATAAAACTACATGTGCTCCGATTGTACGATGTTTGTAGCGCAGGAGGTCTACCCTATAGATTTTGCGGTGGAAGTGGCGCGCAGTAGCACATCAGACTGAGTCTCCACCATGTGCTCAGGTGATCCAAAATCTTCGTGAACGCCGTGGCTACACCAGAGCAGAGGGCTTGGAATGAAATCGGCTTGAAGATCTCAAGAGGGGATAGAACAGAGCCAGAAGATTGTCTCTTCCCTCATAATAGCTGGGGATGCTTTCAGAATCCTCCCTGACTTATATATATATATATACAACATGCATAAATATGAGTACTGTACTGGTTTGAACATTTTATAGATTACTTCTGAACAAATGTAACTCTGTGCATTATATGTGTACATATTTGCATATAGTTATATCTTGCTCCTAGTAGCGATGCCAGGAGCCCCTAGTAGCGTCCTTGCTCCTAGTAGTACGGCCAGGAGCCCCTAGTAGCGAACATTGTTCCAAGATATAAGTGAATGAAACCGTTTTCCAAATTCTCAGAGGTCGGCGTTTGGGGCCGCTCTATGGGCGCTACCACCGCGGTGCCTACCTGCAGGGGGAGTGATGTGGAATGGGGATGGAGGCCCAGTGAACACGATCAGATGAACATGGTGGAACTGATCTGTTTCTGGTGTTTTGGTGAGTTGTGCTTTTCTGTTCGAGATGGTGACCTACAGCTGTGCCTTTTTTTCACCTTGTTTGGGTTGTTGTCCATGTTCTAAACGGAGATGGTCAGTGGATGAGTTTCTTCACCAGAAGCTGACAAACCAAGTGATCACCCAAGCTGCTCCACCTGCGAAGCGTTGACAACGACACAAAGCATTGACGCCACGCATGGTGTGCCTTAGAGCAAATCAATGTAGTCAGTCTGCACTGCATGGCAGCTCTCGAGATCAACAAGAGTACTGGTATGTACTGGCTACCTCTCAAATGGCAGTTTGGTTCCGTGTTGGCATCCACACCCAGAATGTCCCAGAACGTATGCATACTCTTCTCCACACTCAAAATTTGAGGTGTTTCTATGCGTTTCTATATCTAATGTGCTGTGTAAGGGATACCATGGGATACCTAATGGATCCAACCTAAAGAGCACCAAGCTCCACCAATCTGCTTTGGATCCCACATGTTGTTTTCGGCAGGTGCTCCACAGCGCTCGTGATCCGTCCCTTGCCGGTGTGGCCTCGCCGGCATACCATTAGCCGCCAGTGACCGACGGATTTTCCGAAGGGAAGTGGAAGGAAAGGGAAGCAGAGCATGATTAATTGACAGAAAACAAAAGAGAACAACACATAAGAATTGAAAGACTTTAGAATATCACAGAGTAAAGGAAAATGGAGGGTGGACTTGTGTGCCTTCAACAAGGCCCCTTATCAAAGCGGGTGCAAGTCCACCATGTTGTTTCCTTCTCTATCATCAGGGAAAAAGAGGGGCACATCTTTTTTGGCCCATCATAATATGGTGGACAAAGATTAATATTGTTTTTTAGACGATGTATCCTGATGTACTGTATGCCTCATTTCTTGTGGACGAAATGATGAAATGTGTTTTTGCTGGGTGGGCAGTGTTTACATGTGTTTAGCTCTTACGTGATTTTTTTGTTATGTTGCATTGATGTCTAACTTGGATCGTGTTTCCACCGCAGTGCTTGCGAGTGCACTGCCAAAGGTTGGAGCTAGGAAGCATGTGTGGCGGACACCTTTCAAGAAACCATGGAAAACACAAACAGGTTGCCAAACAAGTAACAATAATAACTGATGTAAAAAGCAGCACCTTCTCAAGTTCGCTTTGGAGTAGGTACCTAGGAGCTGCAGCTTTCTGATATTTGAACCACCCTCTCAGAAATTCCCAATTCAAGAAGGATACGGTGTATAATGGCGAGGAGTTATGAGCTCCTCACTTTTTCTTGCAACTCCAGAATCTACAGATACAGATACAGACTACATCATATTTTGGCATGCAAACATGGGTTTGCACGTGTCAGATGATCAGATACAATGATAAAGGTGCTAAAGTTGGAGCCACAGCATCCTAGACTTTAAGATCAGAATCCACAAAGTCTCCTGGTAATGGATAAGGTATGTTATTTTTTGTGATTCGGATGACTGTACTTGGGCCGAAGCTCAACTGCTTGTATCCAACCAATCACCAGTTGGGCTCTAGCGGCCGGACTGTTGTAGCAGGGAACGTGTTGTTGCCTTGTATGTATATATATATATAGTGGTTGGTTGGTTGCAGAAGAGATGTGAACAGCTTTCGTTGAAAAGCAGTTACATACTGTAATAAGTTGCTCGGATCCAGCTCCGAACGCAAGACTTTGTTTGTTGGCACTAACAGCTGTGACATGCGTGGTGCTTCTCCTTCCACCGCTGCTCACCCCTCTTCTTCTGTGGACTACAGTGACTACATACACGTGTTCTTAGTTTGTTTCATACATAATGTACAACTTACTTATACAACAACTAGTCATATACCAGCTGTTGGTTCATAGCCCGACTTGGCAGGTGGCGGATAGCCCGTTCAGTGACCTGTGGAAGTTGATGCAAGAGGCGCGGCTTTAAGTTGCTGCCGGGATCTCCTGAGTGTTCATTTTGTCATTGTAAGACCTCACCACCCACGAATTCATAAAACCGTTTTCTAGATAGATGGTATCCAGAACAATGGTGCAGTTCAGAAGGTCGATTTATATAAGGGTTAAAATTGGTTGAGTTGGAAAAGAACTTTTTCCAGAATTTTTTGCATGCATGGCACTAAGAGCTGGGATCAATGCGCTTCACTTGCAGATCGTGAACAACAAGCTTCGCTTACCAAGTGCGATGTTCCGCTGGGGACCCTGAGTCCACAAGAGGGCCTGTAAGGGGGCAGTGTGAAGGCTGTGGATGAACAAAGTCACCGGTTTTTGAACAAATACTTCATTGCAAAGCCCATGTATTCATGTTGTGTAAGGTTTTATGTACGGGAGTCGTTATTTTCAGAGTGTAGGTTTCACATGGATGCGGATTGCAAACCGGCAAAACCGCTCAGTAAGGTGTTGAATGGTATTGATTTGCAAGTCGAAACCTGGACATACACAACCGACTGGAATGGTCATAAGCTGTTGGACCCTCCTGGTGAGCGCGTTCCACTGACGACTTGTAGCAAGGGTGAATGTCATACCTTGTTAGGCTTTGTTTGCTAAAACTGTGGCAGCTGGATCCCTGCCATTGATTCGCTCTGTGCACCAACTTGCTTCCTGCCAGTGTCAAGAGGCATGAGTCTCAAGAACGTTGTGCAAACCAGAGGGAACAAACATCTCAGATCATTTTGTTTTTGAGGTCATGTGTAGCCTGGATTTGGTATAACCTCAGTGTCATGCGGTATAATTATTAGTATATATAATGATTGTGTGAGAAGGTGTTTTGGTGCATGCGTGCGTGTTTCGACGTATACAAGGTACACTATATAGATATGCGTGATTTGAGTTCAATATCAAATATTTGCTTGGCCTGAACTATTTTTAGGACCTCTTTGCGTTGTTTCTTGCAAGTTTGGCCCCCATCAGTCTGTAGGCGCCGAATTTGCACATGGACATTTTCGACGGGACTTTGCAGGGCTGGTTTTGAAAATACAGATGTTTGCCAGAGATGAGTAACGCCAGACAGGAGTCATTTGACTTTTTGCAAGGGTGCGAGTTTGGTGGCTAAAACAACCACCGCCAGGGGTCACTCACTCTTGAACAATCTTGAATATGGTTAGCAATTTAGTAGCAATATCATTTTTCTTGTTTCTCTTTGGGCCTGCACATGTTTGCCAAGGTCCCGTCTTCGAAGGGATCCGGTTGGCCATCCAGCAGCAGGTGCCATTTCTCGACTGTGATGCCAAACACAAATTTGAGTATATAGAGTTTCCAGGAGTTTCCACAGAAGGATTACCTCATCTAGTAGGTTGTGGTGGAACCTGGAATGAGGTCCACTCACCACCCATTGGCTTTGTCAACATAATGCTTGGTGGGATTCTGAACGGTCGCCTATTCTCTCAGCCAAGCCCCAGAGCCCTGGACCGACGTATTTGATAGGGACGTGCCAAGAGTTTGTCTCTGTGTGTGTGTGTCATGAAGTGAACAAGTGAAAGCTGTCTCAAGTGTTCCAGAAATGTGGGTGCTTTAAGTTATGTTGATAGAACCAGACCCAAGTTAAATGATTTGTTGGACCTATCTGCCGGTAGCAATAGAGTTGTTGGAATACCGGGACAGCGTGGCCGGTAGGAGCTTAGCCGAGTCAAAAAGGTGGCCATGCCCGTTGGATACGTATGTTGTTTGCGAAGTCCACGCAGGCAAGCTTCGACATTTGCGAGGCGAGGGGAGGAGGAGGCGGAGCTACAGTAGGGGTCTAGAGTCTATGGCCATGCCCCACAAGCATGAACAGTTACGTAGCCGCTAGACAAAATTGAGATCCACTCCAAGGTACTCTTAATCTTAACATTTCTTAACGAGTCATAGTCTTGAGTGATCTTGAGTCGCTTATTTTGTATTGGATCTCTTTCGGATACAACCTAGACTGGCTGTGTTTTGTCACCCAATTAGCAGACGTAGGCATTCGACCTTTGAACGGAGGTCTTGGATGCAATATGCTGGGACAATTCTCTCGATGCAGGGACTTGTACGTGGCACTACATTACATTCTTGTTAAAAAGAAGAAGCATCTACAGTATATAATAGGCACCCAGGTGCATGCCCCGTTTTGTAAACCCTTGTGTTCTTCGAATGTTGGCGTTGCCAGCATGCCTACCTATCCAACAATAAACGGGCAGACATTTCTTGATCAGGTATAGCAGAATTTCGATGTCTAAGCTTTGACTATGAAAAGACAGATTGTGCCGTTGTATGTAGAAACTGCCAAGAACTCTATGGTATTGCATGTACTTATCGGATCTGGAATAAACGTGCCTTTTGATGATGTCTTTTGCATGTAACCAACCCGACGTATATGCAGATTTGAGGACGCGATTGCAATCAACCCAAGCCACCCACTGCCACTCAACCAGCCTAAAGATTTGGGATGACCTCTGGGCACTGGCATCGGGGGCACCACCTGTAGTCCTTTCGGATCTCCAACTGACACCACAATGGGAGGGTGCTTGCTCCGCTTGGTCGGACGGTTGTGTCGCGAGGTTTCTCCGTTGAAGCACTTGGAGAGCTGCTTTGTGAGGGCCCCAGTTTTCCCATAGACACGCCTAGGCAGATTGGGAGGACTTCCTCAAGCGAAGGGTCCCTTTGTGAGGTCGATGTTTGCTGAGCGGCTGAGCACCTTTGTTTCGTTGTGGTTTTTGGCTCGGTGTCTCTTTGGGATTGCAAGAACCAGGATGTATGAGGTGGATTTTCAGCAATTTGATTGCCCTCGATTGACTGGCGACGCCTTGCTTGCGGGGTTGATAGTTCTATCAAGTGTACAAGTGTGCATAGGGTCCTGGTTTTCTGACGTTGAGAACATGCTCTGATTTAAGATTTGTCTTGTCTGTTGAACATCCAGTCACAAACAATGGTCCTTTGAATCATTGATGTGAGCACCTCAGGGTTTAAGATGGTTTTAAGTTTACGGATGAATCCATTGGTTGCTCATGCTGGGTCTCTCCAAGCGATGTTGTTGTCAGGGAGGAATTGCCACAGTCTTTTGGTCATGACTCCAATTCTTCCGTGAGTGCAAACCTGGGTTTTGTTCATCAGACTAATACCCGGGAGCTTGGACCTGGCTGTGCTGAGCGGGTGATGAAAATGGATCGGAACGCCTTGTGGGATGAAGATGTTCACCGTTCAAGCAAAGTCCAGATTTGATTTATCTTTGTTTGGCCCTGTTTACATCATTCAGAGTTTGACATTTAGAGTCGTGAGTCGTACCCACATCACCCCTCTAAACCACAGACACATAAGTGGCGGCTCAATCTTAACCAGTGTTACTTTACGTGTTTATACAATGTTCTTTTTCTTGCTACCAGGGGTGGGGTCTTTAGGGGTTCATTTTGGAAAGCGTAGTTATAGTTCCTCTAGTAGCTTCTTGCTCCTAGTAGCGAGGCCAGGAGCCCCTAGTTCCTCCACCTTGCCCATCCAAGTTGCCGATCTTCCTGATGCATGGCGAAGCGGAGCGCGTCTCATCGCTTTGCTTCGATGGTTGGGGCTGGGTGGGCTTCCATTCTGTGCCGACGTTGCATCCGAGCGCTTCTTCAAGGAAGCTTCCCCCGCCGCCTTTAGGGCGGCCGTCGGAGCTTCCTTGAAGAAGCGTGAGCTATCCTGCGTCCATACTAGTAGCATCTAGTAGCTACTTAAGCCACTAGCCACCTCTCCCTACTAGCTACCGACTCCCTAGCTAACCTACCTCCTAGCAGCCGACCCCCCCCGGTCTCTTAAAAAGAAGAACATAAAAAAAAAATATATATAACACCAATCTTTATGACATCAACAGACATCAGCCTTTCCCAGGCCATGTTCGACTCATTGGGATAAACAGAGGATAAGGAGGCCCACTGGTTGAAGAACCACAAAGGGTTTCAAAGCGACGTTTCAAGCTCCTAACAAAATAGCAAAGATGGGGCTGGAAACTGGAAACTGGGACCGTCGCTTTTCTTTGCCAGACTCCTGCGAAAATTCAATTTGATGGTTGATAAGGAGAACCCTCCCCAAATGACCAGAGGAGAGCAAGGCCGACCCCTTCAGCAAGCTCTCTACAGCATCCTCATCACTCCGTTTATATCAGAAAGCCCCAAGCCTTTGTTTACTAATCCATGATGAGCTTATATAACCCTTGAGTTACTCGTTTTGCTGTCTGCAGTGAGAGGCTACATGTTGGAAGCTCTCATGATTTGCCAGTAGTTGTACAATCTAATTTGACATAGGAAAGGTTTGACTCTTCTCGCTAGATCACACAAGAAACTCCATTAGATCCTCAATTTTGTCTTTAGATGTCTTCAGACGTCTTTCATCATCTCACTCTCCCATTTGAAGAAATTATGAAACACACAGGAAGTTGTTCATGGGTGGATGAGGGTCCATGCCCAGCGTGTTCGAAAAGTGCGAGGACGCCTTTGTGCAACCTCACCATTCAGAGCTCCTGCGGAATGGTTGGCAGGGCGAGGCCAGGTGACTTGTGCATCCGGAGTCACCAAATCAATGCTCGAACAAGACCTGGCCTGCATTGCAGGGCAGGCGGGTGATGATGACCCTGACCATACCTCCATGCCCTTTCTCAGGGATCACTTGCCTGTGACACTGCGACATGAATTCAGCTTAATTAGCGTTTCTGGTCATTTCTGGTCAAAACCCTAGCTTCCCTTTCCATCCTTCCTTTGCTGGCTTTTGTATGTACGCAGCGACCCTCAGGCGACACGGGTGACCATGCCGAACACCGAGCACAATGATCACCGTTGGGCTTGCTCAGTAGGGCGGTGTATGCAAATTGGAGGGTCAAGACGCTGTTCTATTTTGATGTGATTTTTAAGAGGGTTGGAAATCGTTCAGACAGTCAAGGTGTTGTTTTAGAGGACTCACCTCGACTCATCAGAACTTATATACTATATATATATATATTACTGACAACCTTGCAGAAAACACAGCGATATACAGGAAAACACCGGTCAACATAACTTTGACATCGCGGGCAATTTTGCAGCTTATACTTGATATCTATAGTTATATCATGTTATATAAATAAATAAATAATATACATGATGCAATTCCGCCACGTCAAAGGCTCTACAGCTCTACAAACGTCCAAATCATACGTACGAGTTCATCTGTATGAAACATGAACAATACATAGAAGTAGCTTGCCAGTGAGAGGATCGACTTGGAACCTCACTGCCCACAGGCTCCCCATGTCCTTTGGGTCTAGGAGAAGAGAAGTTCCTTGCCCGCGCAGCGCTCTTCATGGTCCGGGCACTCCGTTGGGGCTTCTCAGATGGCTTCAGGTTTGGAGCTCAGGGGAAGACCATCTCCTCCCAAAAGAAATGCTCATATAAAACATTGGTTCAGTGGATTCAGTTGCCACTTGGGTTTGTGCTTGATTCTGGAGGCTCAATCTGGAGGTCAAGAAATTGCAAGGATGACATTCATTCACCAAGAAGATCCAGCCCAAATCCCACGGCTGCCCACGCAGTGCGATGCGTGTTGACCTCAACGAACCACATACAGTATCACCCAAGTTCCACTGTTCAGTTTGTTGAGATGACAAAAACATGAGAGGAATACAAGAGTCCAAATGCCTGATTAATAGTTGTATCCAGCAGGTCTCAGTGGATCGCACGCAATATGTCTATATGCAACTGGGGTTTCAATGCAGAGGTGATTCGAGATCTGCATGAAGTGGTGGCACGTGCGATGAAACGGGATGGATTATGAGTAGCGATTGAAGCCCACACGTTCAAACTTTGGCCGCTCCTTTTCGTTGGAAGATGGAGTTGGCCGCAAAGCAGACATCTATAATTACATGAGAAGGGGCGGAAAGGTCGAATTCCATCCAATTCCCATGAAACGCTTTCACAAGCGTCATTCCTTGAGCCATTTGTCAAGACTCTGGCCAGATCACTGACTGTCCGAGGTTGGGAGAGCTTCCTGGATACCATGGCATTCTAGCCGCATCAGGGTTGGCTTCGTGTCAATGATGGAAAGAACTCTGAGTACTGATTGAGTGAGCCTCTCCATATATATATATATATAGAGAACCCTGAGAAGTCAATGCGAAAATGAAGGCTCAACGCTGAAGGACTCTTAAAGGCTGATGGGACTGAGAAAGACTGCTGTAGAATTTCATAGAGTTTATAGTGGGATCTTTATGGATCTTTCGAGTTTCCGAACCAGCAATGGCTTAGTGGAGACCTTTGGTGACTTCTCTCATCACTGGGTCTTGCTTTATTTCTATGGTGATCGTTTTTACTACTTTTTCATTGACAGATTTGCAACTTTGCGAGTCCTTTTGAACATGTATTTCCCGAGCCTCCATGGAGTTGATACCATTGGACTGAGAAAGACACAACCCCCTGTAGGAGCGAAGTAGTTGTCGAAATCATGTGCTGCAGTCAGGCGGCTGCATGGAACCCTAGAACATCAAGATAAGAATGTGTGACAAAAAACCGTCCGGATCACTGTTACTACATCAATATGCACAAACATATACGGTATATATACATACGCACTTGCCTTTGTGCTGTCAGAGAGTTTCTGACGCGCACTATCGATCCTTGTTTGCACGAGTCAACACCCCCGAACCACTAATCACTAAAACTCACCAGAAATAATGACAAAAACGCATTACTACTGTACAAATGACAAATTTGCACCTCTTTGGACATTGACTTTAGCAGAAACCCTCTTCTTCCGAACCCGGACAGCAAGGAAACAAGTAAGAGAAAAAAAATCCACAGATGTTGGGTATTGTTTCCTTTGCACACTAAGGTTTTCCTAAAGCAATCGAGGTGTGATGGGACGCCCATCTCAGTTCGCTGAAGAATATCAGGATCAAAAAGGAAGGGTAGGGCTCTTTACCATCCTATTTCCATCTCTTGTTTCTCCTTTGAGACTTCTTGTATTACCATCCTGCCCTGCCCTGGCCTGCGCTTGGCCGCCAAGGCATTGGAGGCCTTGACCAAAGGACTCCTCCCGACGACCACCAATATATCCAACGTCCAGCTTGGACGCCTGTCCGGGTCGATACTTTTAGCTGTCATAATAGACAGATACTTGTGGATCAGCATGGACATGATGGCTTGTGGATACTTGCGGATACGTGTGGCAGGCAGAACCAGCTAGTCTTCAAACATTTCTGGACGAGTTGCCGGCGTAGCCCGAATTCATGTGGCACCCATGTTGAAACGTTTCAGATTGCTTTGGTGATGTTCTGGGCTAGCTCTGTCAAACAGGCCATGTCAGAAATCCTGGCAATTGACAGCAACGGAGACATTGCACATACAGGGTCTGGTGTTGTTGCTGTGAATCCGGTCGCTTCAAAGCAACTTTAACCCAGACCCACTCATGATGACTGACCCAGGAAACCTATGCAAACCTATGGGAACTAATCCAAACAGAGGCTAAATTGTGGTCACCGGTCGAGGTCCAAGATGAATGGCTCCGCGACCTTGGCCGCAGCGCAGCACTTTGAGCAGCTGGTGCGCCACTGCCGGGACCGCACCGAATGTTCCACGTGCCTTCGTGGGAACGCATGATCCGTTGTAGTTGCAGAAGCAATCGAGTGTGGGGCTGCAGGAAACCAGGCAGTCGCGTTGGGAGAACCAAGGGCAAAACTTTAGTAGTAGTATAGTAGTATGTATATATATATATATATTATATATTTACACAGATGTATACTGTACAGGTTCTTTTGCATTGTCATCCGGTCTTGAAACTTGGCATACGCTGTTTCTCTCTTTCTGGGAGGGTTTACTCCAGGGTGACAAGCACAGCACAACTGCCCTCCACATCCAGTGAATCCAGTGGCTGCACAACGGTTCACCCGCTCTTGGAGTCTTCAGTAGCAAATGTTCAGAAACTTATGGTGTGTCCGTAAACTACTTTAGCTTACGGTACTAGTACTTATCAGCATTGCTACACCCCATTGGGTAATGTACGAGGCAACAATTTGGGAGGGAACCGTGATGAGTCCACCACCGCTGTACGCTGCCAGGCGCTCTCCAGCGAGATCCGGAAGATGGCGATGCCGGGCACTGAAAGGGTTTGAGGTATGGTGGCTGACATGTCGCAGGGCATGGACACCCAACCCACATGTCCTTATCGTAGGAGGTTTTGGACGATCCCATATCCCAAAAAGGAAGTTGGGCTTCTCTACATTATATTTTGCTCAAGAGCTACGGAACCTGTACTTACATCCGCCTAAATTCAATCGACAACTTTTCCTGCAGCACCTGTCAAATGGTGGGAGATCGATTACAGTAAGTCTGTAGTGCAGCATGTGGGCCATCAACAGCATAGCATGGCATGATCTGCATGGTGTTGGGGACTGGTTCTAGCATGTTCTGGCCATTTCGTTGCAGTTCGCCAAACACTCGGCCTATTCCAAAGCTTCTTCCTGTCCCAGTCGGTGAACAGTAACACTGGGGTGGATGGATGTAGAAGTAAGTAGATGAAGCAACTAGGTACTTGTTGTTGTACTTGATCTATTTGGGTCTACTAGTCTACTTTCACCTAGTGTACTTGATCTCAAAAGGCATCTTTACTGATGTCGAGTGATGGATAATACTTGTGTATGTCCAAGAAGGCAGTGTTTTGCCTCAAAATGGAACTGGATCCAATATCTAGCGGACGTTGATGAGGATCCGCAACAATCAACAGTAATTACATAGCTTCGAAGTGGCTTGGACAAAGGGTTGTAAGTGAGAGGTTCGTGGAAGTTAGGTCACTGGTCACTGGCAGATATGTTGACGAGAGCCCGCCACCTGCGTGAAGAGGCGGTGCCTAAGTTGCTATTTAATGCTATTTGAAACATCCACAAGTCCCGCGGTGCACGAGTGTGGCTGACTCCCTTTGCACTTCCTTTGCAACTCCGCGGCAAGTTGTTTGAGGTCTTCAGCATCTGAATATCCTTCAGGTCCTTCAGGCACTTTCCAGCCCTTCTGCGCTGCTGGACTTAGGTCCCGGGATGTCTCTGAGCGGCAGCACGGATTGGTGCTGGCAGCCGCCGAGCTGAGCGGTTGGGGACACCCGATGCGGGAAGCTTGTCAGGTGAGTATTTGATTGAGATGTTGGCGTTTATCCGTTGCGTTTTTAGTGGAGGAACACAAAAGTAGCTCAAAAGTCGAAAGAACACATGGCCGCTGGCCGCTGGTTGTTAAAAGGTAGGCAACTCCAATTTTTTCGGGAACCACACATTATATGCCATGTACTTGGCTGTATTTGCCCATTTGCCCTGTGTATTTGTCTGAATTTACCTCTCCTAGGCTGTTGTCACCCCATCCTGATCATCCTGATCCTGTCCTTGATCCGTTGCTAGTAGCGTCCTTGCTCCTAGTAGCGATGCCCTTGTTACTAGCAGCGATGCCAGGAGCTACCAGTAGGGTCCTTGTTCTCACCAACTCTGAGGTGCCTACAAAGGGGCGGAGAAGCTGGACCTCAGCAGCACAGGTGCGGCTCGAGCACACCCCACCAGATCACCTGGTAATTGCGGTCCTTACCGTGTCTTGGGTGTTAAACCACACAGTTCCGAGTGGGTGTTGCTGGCAAGCGATGAGGGTATAAGTTGCAAGAATACTTTCACTAGGTTTGTTTGATCCAGGTAATACGCTTTGACCTGCAAGCGAAGTGTGGCGACTGAGGATTGTGCAATGGATAGAATCAGCATGAAACAGTAGATGACCCCCCCCGTCCCAAGTAGATAGAAACAGTGCCAGTGAGCAACCTGGCTGAGGTTCTCAGCCGGACCCCTCGACTTAATTTTCAGAGCTGATGAGGAGATAAAGCATGCATTTGGTAGAGGTCCCAGAAGGGCCGGAAGCTGACTATTTTATTTCTCATGTGCCCTCAGATCTCATCGTTTCCTCTCCACACAAATCTAGGATTTTAAAGACTAGAACCTTGTGAGCGCTTATGAAGGACATCCTCCCTTTTGGTGGGTAAAAAACATGTAAAGACACTTTTGCGTTCTCATAGAATGTACCACGCAGGACAAACAAACACAGTTAGTGGGGTTTGGACCCCCAAATATGATTGGAATCCAACTAGGAATCTCCATTTCTATGACCAGAGCTGTCAAACAACAAGATAGCGACAGAACACACACCCAAATAATAATGGAAGTGGAACATAGCCCCTTGGACGACATTTTGTCTCCCAGTCTCAATACGGGTCCTAGTCAGCTTCCATCGCTAGAACATTTCAGACAAATCGACAGACACACACACACAAAAACACTCTCTCTTTTTGTATATCGTATATACATACATGTGTATACATACATATATATATATATTACACATTCTTGTAGATACAGTAGTTTTTCATCCTTTCCTTTTCGAATGTATTAAGGGGTGTAAATCGTGTTCTTTGCTCATTTGTCACTCTTTCTCTCACTTCAGGTACTTTGCGGATGACCCTCCCAGCCTCCTTCAAAGGCACTGTTTGTCGGAGCCCCATGATTAGTTAGGAGGGACCAAGAGTCACGGAAGAGTAACGATGAGGTCAAAAGCAAATGAGGTCTCATGAGCCAAGGGAATGAGTCGAGATGAGTCATGATGATAGGGGTGCCAAGAATCACGGACAAACAGAGAGACAAGCGTTTGCCAGTCGTTACCCACTGTGTTTCTGGGACCCCGTGAGACCACCAGATCACTGCACAACAAATCAATCGAAAGCCACTTGAGGAAACATGAAGACCCAGCACTCGGAAACATCAAGCGAAGCAACATGGAACAACGGTTCCTTCCGCAATCATTTGTCCGTTTCATGCCGAATATTGCAGCTTGAAACATTGCCACCGGAGGAAGTCGATGGACGCCGACCTGGTTCACGGGGTTGTCACACTTTTGGTCAAATTCCAATGCTGGTTTCCTGGAAGGAGTCCAGGGTGTGCTATGGATTCTGTGGCTTCGATCCATGTCCCAAATACTCGCATGACATATGGTAAGATTTAAACGAGCAAACAATCTAACAAAGAAACAAACACATGCGACCACGCATAACTTGTGATTTACTATTCAGAGGCTGACCGTGCTAAACCGAGGTTTTGGAAAGGATGACATTGAAGTGGCCTTTGGGTGGGTCTGGCGGCCCAAGAACCCCCGTCGTGGCGATTCGTTCGGTGACCTCAAAATCACATAAAGCTTAAGCTCGAACAATAATATCTTTCAAGTTTCTGACGATATACCTCTACTGCACCAAGTTTATCTCAAACTACAACTAGAGTAACCAGAGGCAGTATATTGTCTTGTTTTTTTTGACCATGATCTTGCGGAATATGTACCGATGCTGCTTGACTTTTTGCCAACGATCCACGAATAGTTAGGATGTGTGTTATTGCAGTATGTGACACCCTTGTGTCAACCAACAGCACAGAACATGTTGCTTGATCTTTTACACTCTTCCAGAACATGTATGCCACAGTACTTCTCATGAATTTCATGCACAAATCATCCACGTTTAGAGTTGGTGCAGCGCAGTGTGCGAACATCCTGGGCTGGCTGTTGAATGCGTGGGGAGCCTTGCACCCCATGCCCATGGGGTGCAAAAGGTGATCGCTCCACTAGTATCTTTGGTTCAGGTGAAATTCTATATTTTCACGAGGCGCAGTTTGGTCACAGGAAAAGCTAGAGCAGCTTCTGATTTTCTTCACCCTGCCAGCCCTCCCATAGGCCTTCCAGACTCTACGAGCTGGATGTTTTCCCGCTTCCATGGCAATAGTTGATGGAGAGAGGAGACCACTTTTGGGGCTGGATTCTTTTCGTGGCCCATCTAGATTTCAACGTTCCTCTATGAAGAGCTGCTCGGGGCAGCCGTGGGAGTCCAAGTGGATGCTGCGTTTAGTCATTCCATCCAAAGGCTGAGTGAGATTTGGGGATGTGGCCCCCTCCAACGTGAAAGCCGCTCCAGGTGGGTGGCACCTTGCCGAGCTTGGGACATATAGTGCAGTTCGCTGTGTGGGGACCTCACTGGAGGATGGGTGTTAATAGTAGCAAATTAGCTACAAATAGCGATGCCCTTGTTACTAGTAACTAGTAGCTTCTTGTTACTAGTAGTAATGCCAGGAGCTACTAGTAGCGTCCTTGCTCCTAGTAGCGATGCCCTTTGTTCCTAGTAGCTTCTTGTTCCTAAAAGAAGCTGAGGGACTTAACCAAATCAACGACACTTCTAGTCAGAACACGGCACACCCATGCCACTTTCCTTCGGAGGTTTTACTCTCGCTGGCAGCGTATTGGAGGAAACACTTTATCAACACTGGGACAGAGAACTTTCTCAGTGCCATGGACCTGGATAGGGGTTTCATTTGCCAGATGGTTTGATCCACAGCAAGGGCTTAGCTTGAAGGTTGTTTTCAACAAGTCAAACCAACACATCCAGAAATTTTCAGGCACTGTAAGTGCATCAGCGCATAGACTTTGAGGGATCAAGGTATTCTGATTATACTCTTCTCTTGACTTAACTTGGTCTAGATAGACAGATGACTTCAGCGATCTAGACATGGTTGTTCAAGGGTCCATTGTCCCGGAAACACATGTCAAACAAGTTCTTTGCCTTTGAGGCATATAAGTGTTCAGCCCCCAACAGGAAACAAATGTCATGCACAACATGTCCGACCATTCCAGGCTAGAAATACAACCCCATGCTATCTCACCCCCGTTTCAAGGATCAACTCTGATGCACACTCGCAGCTGACCCCGGGGGTCTGGAGCTTGGATCCTCAACTAATTGGATGAGGATTTGGGTATCCAAAACACCTTGTTTCCTTGGGGGTGTTCAATAGCCAGGGTAGAACTGTTCACTCTGTTTGGGTATGGCCGTCTTTGCCCTTGGCGCCTTTCAAGGCTCTCGGCCAACGCCTTGAGCATCTCCCGAGTGATCCTGAAGCCATTGAAAGGCTCGGAAGGGATGGGTGACAGTAGGCGAGCGGAGAAATCCGACTTGAGACGAGAGGCTGAGAGGCTTTTCTCATCTTTTCTCCAAAGTGAGTGGCAGAGGCTTGATGTAGTTGTCTTTTCTTCGCTCTACAACCGACCGTGTTCATGGGCCGGAGATCTGACTGTGAGATAGGCTTACAAAGTTTATTCTGGAGTGGAAGGACATGAATTGGGTTCAGGTTTTGTATTCAAGGACTGCAAAGGCCGCATGGCCTCAAAGTTCACCCAAGCATACCGAACAAAGACACTAATGTTCTAATTGCAACGATGTGCACAAACTTCCCCATCCAAGGACTTGGAAGAGCTTGAAGAGCTGGGTGGAAAGACCACAAGTACGCATACCGATGATAGATATTAAATATATAAATTTGATATAAGTATAGACTATATATATAATATATACTGTACTGCATGGGGATTTTTTTTTGCCACGCATGTTGATGGGCTAACAGCCAAGGACAAGGTCGAGGCCCCAGACGCATCAAGGTCCTGATCATTTGCTTTTCACCTGAAGCCTTTACGGTACAATTGGGCTGTGGGGTACCACTAGTTTCTGGCCATAAACAATCACAAACATGTGATTGAGTTGGCAGGTTCATGATCTCTACATTTCTTCATTTCTTAGGATGTTCGAGCTATGGATGCAACCTTAGGAAGCTCCAGACTCCGGAGTCTCCTAGAGCAATCCCATCCACGCGATAGCAAGGTCATTATGATGCTCTTCAGCCTTTGCGTATAGGAGCGTCCTTGTTACTGGTAGTAAGAATGCTACTAGTAGTAATGCCCTTTGTTACTAGTAGCAATGCCCTTGCTCCTAGTAGCTTCTTGTTACTACATTAAATTGATTGCCAGCAGGAAGACCAACATTTGCGGGTGTCCTTTTTCGGATCACCTCTGAAGCACTTGAGCTGTTCGCAGCCTTGAGGAGAATTCTCAAGATAAAGTAATCCGTTTCTCCGCTACGAATCCCAGGCGGCGGATTCTCGACCACTGGGATCGAACAGCTCTGTATGGAGGCTGTCGAGCTTCCATTGAACAAGCCGGGCCGCTCAGATGTCTCCAATGGCAGCTTCCAAATCAGGACCCATCTCCAATGACCTCCAACGGTTTGTGCAGTTGTTACCACACAGTAACACGGACCAGGCTTAGTGTGAGCAAGCCGAGGCATAAATAATGCCTGCATCGTAGAGAACATGTTGTTTTGCAAACACCTTTGTCGAACTGACTACTGACTACAGTAATGTAGTCCCTTGATTTATAAACCCCCCCCCCTCAACAACCAAGGCCTCCAAAATAATGTATATGAAAATCAATCAGTTGATAATTAAATAAGGAATCCTTAGCTAGCTACCTCTGGAGCTACTCTCGCAATATTAAATTAAAAGGAAATAAGAATTCCTAACTTTGAAGACCT